CGAGGGGGCGAGCGGGCTTACGCGAGCAACCGCGGGAAGCGAAACGGGAAGGTGTAGGAAAGAGAGAGAAAGCAAGCGAAAGAGAATGCGAGGGAGGAAGAGAAGAAGACAGAGAGTGCGAGAGAAAGAGAGAAAGTGAGTGAAAGGATGAGGGACATAGGGAGGGAGAAAGAGAGAGAGAGAGAGACGAACGACGTCGAGAGGGAAGGAGACCCTTTGGTCACGATGGTGCGCGTCGGCCCTACGACCCTCTGGCAACCCACCCCTTCTCGTATGCCACCATCCAACGCGACCCTCCCTCTTGTACCCGGTGCGCGCCCTCCGCCTCCCCTCTCGCCTTGGTTTCCTTTCTCTCTCGCTCCCTCTCTCTTTCCGTCTTTCTCTCTCGCTCTCTCTCTCTCTCCCTCCTGGCACGATGTAAGCCCGTTCCGTCGATCAATATTACTCTCTTCGAGCGCACCACGGCTCGTCTGAGCGCCAACCGAGCGCTATCATATTAAGTTCCGAGCACTTTGCTCCGAGCACTTGGAAGGAGCTTCGGCACATCGCGAAAGTTTTCTCGCGCGAATACGCCGAGAGCGCGCGCGATATTATCTGTATCTCTCCCTCGTGACGGAGGGTCGCATCGCCATTTTTACGGTCGTGCCGGGCCACCATATATTTTCTTCCTCGAACGATGCGAATGCAAATTTTTACTTATGTCCGATAAATTCCACGTCATCGGATGCTGCGTCTCTCTCGTCGTTTGAAATTGTCATAACCTTGCCTCTCGTGACATATACCCCTCGATGAAAATTAACGCGAGCTTTCAGCTTGAACGGGGACGCTGTCAATTTACGCGAAATCTGGGAAAAATGTTTTAGACTAAATTTAATTTTCTAACTGTATTTTGGAAAGCGCGAGAAGTAAGAAAATTATCTCTGAATGACTTTTGATTAACGCGAATCAAGAGATCTAACATTTAAATTTACGTGTTATCAACACGTATTGTCTTTGGATTTTTATTGTTTTGTCGAAACGGTAGTTTACAGCCTGCATGTGTGTGTGTGTGTCGCGACGCAAAGTTACTCCCTCTTTCTAGTCGAATAAATTTAAACCCATCTTACAGCAAGTGTTTTCTCTTCAATTTTCGTTCGCGTTGGCGCGAAAAAAGAAGCATCGTGTTCCGCGACTGTTTTGTCACGAGAGCGCGCACACACACACACACACACACACACAATTTGCGAGTTTTTCTCGCAATCTTCCGCCGGAAGAGGAAACCCGAGAACAATACTATCAACGCACATATAACTCGAACGCTCTTAAAAGTTTACCTGGGGGTGGCCGTGACCGGTACGTTCAAACCCCTGTCGCACCTTTCTCGCAGGGATGACTGATCCGCACAGTCATTTGGGCTTAGCAAACCCACGGACCCGAGCTCGACACAGCGGACATCCACATACATTTACACATCACACACACGCATATACACACGTTTCTGTGTGAAGCGAGATAAAACATATAATTGAAAATTAATTTAAAAAATAAGAGTGAAAAATAGATATTATAGTTTAATAGAGATAGCAAAAGCTATAAAACTTATTTTTTACTTATAGCTTTTAATTTAAAAAAATTAAGGGATACAAGTAAACCTCTTTAAACTGTCAACATGATTCATCATACTGTCGAAGAAAATTCAGTAGTGATACGACTGAAATGTAAATGAATAGATGATTCAATAATTTCTGTATTCAATAATGACATAGTTTATTCTTTTTAATATTTTAAGAATATATGTTTTAATGTACTGCAATTTGACTCTGTGCCAAGAATTAAATATCGTCTTTATTAACGTTATTAACAATATTAACGTTATTATAATGAAAAGAATAGTGTATATAGTATTGTCTATACGAAATCGCTAAATTAAAGTCTGTGGAAAGATAGAATGTCTTTTCAAGTGCTGCAGTTTTATGAAATGAGATATATGGCATTTATCCGCGATTCGTCCACGTCAAAATAATTAGGGGTATTCCAGCGTGTTTCTCAAATATTTCAGCGTTTATGATACGTCCGTAAATTCGTGCACACATCACGATTGCCGTCCACGTTGGTCCGATCAAACGTTTTATCGACTATGAAATGCTGAAATCTCGGTCGTGACGCAATACTAAATTCACGTCTAATGAAATCGCGGGAGCGAGAGCGAGGGGGATATGTGTCGATCGTAAAAATTCTTCGTTGCGAGCCCCGAAATTACATATATGTTGGACCCACTAAAAAAACGATACTCGTGTTTTGAATACGCGAACTCACGGGGTCGCGACCTGGCCGTAAAAATTCGCGACACGGGCGACCCGCCGTCGTAGAAATGGCACTTAATCCGCGTCGCCGCGCCCGGAGTATCGACGTTTTCGGAAAGAGCTCTCGACCCCAGACTTTTCGTGAAGTACAAACTTATGAACAGGAAATAGCGACGTTTAATTCAAACCGCATTTCCCACGAATCCCGAATTCAAATAATAAAACTTAAAGTCGTACTTTTTGCCACGGCGCCTATCGTGTATATAAAAAAAAACTTCCATTTTTTTTATAAGCCATGTATTTAATAAACTTATCGTAAACTTATTACTAATATAAAATCGCCCGATTTAGAAACCATAATATCTAGCTTTAATGCGATTCAATACATAATAGATTAATATGTCATTATTTTATTGAATGCGTTTCATTAAGTACTCTATGGTCGCATACATATGTTAATCAATTAATATAATAGTTTATTAATATCCTCGTTCATTAATATAATACATAATAGTTCGTTAATGTTCTATATTAAATTCAGTCATTAAATTAACAATGACAAAAGGAAAACTATCGTTTTACGACACGCGTATTGCATCATTTTAGATCCTCTATCATTCGTTAATTAATACGATTAATGCTAAAAATAGGATTATTTATCAAATCCTTCGAAATTTATTTGGATCTAACGTGAAATCTTAAATATAATAACTTTATGTACTTTTATATAGCTATACATTCTGTTCAAAAACTGACACGAAAAGAATTATCCACGCGGACAAACGCGGTGGACGTTCGTGCTGGCTGGTGTACGTGGTCGCGAAATCGATTCTCGCCACGGTATCGTAAACCTTACCAATCCCAAGTAAGAACCGGAGGCGCACCTCGCACAAGTAACGCTAGACACATGTGTCCCTGATGCATTAAGACAACTTTTCCTACTTCGCAGCGTATATGGGCGCAACCCATTTTCCGCCGCGCACGAAGTCGCGGATGCAGTTTCAGGACGCGAAGACGCAGCCGCCGGGAGAATGTTACGGACATAAGCCGTAAAGAGTGAATTTTACAAGAGGGGAACAAAAGGAGCGGAAAAAAGTAGAAGATATTTCATACGGTCGATTCACCGTTTCCGAAAGGGATTCCGCGAGAAATCCTTTCTCCCTTCGCCCTCCTTGACGGACGGAAATAATACTCCGGTTGTACCCGTCTACCCGATTACGAAGGAGAAACAACTTTGTAAAAAATTGACTTAACGAAACTTTCCCATTCGAATAATTCATTCGCAAGCTACTTGCTCAATGAGAGAAACGACCGTAATATTTCATTCGTTTCCAAAGAAGCTAAAGAATTTCCCCTCAATAGAGGAATGCAACTCGGTTTTATTATAGCTCGCGCGAGCTAAATCCAATATTCCTCTTAGTGCTCTACATATGGATCAACGTAATGGAATTCGAGCAAGACATGATTTGCGCGGCGCGCCGATAACGTCGGGAAATCTGATACTACGTGTCGTACGACTTTGCCCATAAATCGGTATTTTTAGCATACGTTGGTGCCGAAAAGCGAGCGAACGGACACGGTGGGAATATCTCTTGAACCTTGTCTCTTCTTCTTCTCCCTCGCGAAATCGCGCGCGCCGCGCCGATAATCCGTGACGCGAATTCTCGTTCGATTTCATGGCACGAGACGATTTTATTGTGCGACGCGCGTTGTCCGCGCGCGCTTATCGAGAGCAATGATAAATTTTCAGATATCATCTCGAATTCTTGCCTCTCGATATCGGGAGGTGAACGACATCGATGGATGGGGGATGTACTAGCGATGTGTGTGTCTCGCAGGGATATATTCCGCTTTTGTGTCGTGGCCATTTTAAAGGAGCTGATGAAATACGCTCCTTTAAAATCGGAGCGGCTTATGGCCTATAATATTCTCAGATCGGCTTAAATTCTGAAGATATATAGCATCTATAGCTTTAATCTTATTGTTAGATAAAAATAGAAAGTTTTGATCGAAAAGTAATTCGTCGTGTAATCGCATTTTGAGATAACATCGATAAGTGTGACTGGAGTTAAATTAAAGTATCAAGCCGATTGCAATCTTAACTCAAACACTTTAAATATCACTTGCGGATAAGTTACATGTACACACAACCGATACACTGCCGATAAGTCATCCCGATGTTCCACAGTTTACATTTTTATAATTCACTGCCGATTGCAGCGTCATATTCGTACAATGATAACTTTATCTTTTTCTGCTCTAATGTTTTCTAACATTTATCTTATCATTTAATACGACATGGCGACCGTAATTGCATCATTTTATTGTAAGTGCTATTATTCAATTTACATTTAACTAAACGTAAAGTATAGTTGGCTAAACCGATGCCATGCATGCACAATTGGTAAAGAAATTTTAAATGAATCGAAATTAGTTTGATACAAAAATCCACAATTATAACTTTAAAACGGTAATAAGCATCTTCACATATTTTAAGAACATTAGCACAGTTTTGAAACATTTGTACACGATGCACGAGAGTCAGACATTTACAAAGATTAAAGGAGACATGCTTTATCTAAAATCTCATACAAATGTGGAAGCATTTGAGCCTTTCGCGCTTCAGCACCCCATCCCTGGTTCAACATTACGATCCTCCCTCACGTTACATCGATAAGAGGGCACGAGGTGTACGTGTGTGTGTGTGTGCGTACTCACAGTTGTCATTCTTGCCATCGACGCGGCCGGCACGCTGGCACAGCACGAGCACCAGGAGCAGGAGGGCTCGAGTGCCCCCCGCTAGGCACATCCCTGCGGCGGCCTTATCGTTATCGGCACGCGCACATCCTCCACATCCACCCCCGCGCGAAAGGCACAGATAGGGTCGTCGTCTCTTTCCCGCTTCGCACGCACGCACGCACGCACGCACGCACGCACGTACTACCGCGTGACCGACCACCACGACGATGCAACCGCACCCCGCGACGTGTCCCGCGCGACTGAGCGCCTCCGCTCGGTGCGATTTTACGCGCGAACCACCCCCCCACACACATCGTTCCCCGTCGTCGACGTAATCGTCGTAGTCGTCGTCGTCGACGTTGAAGCGAAAGAGAAAGAGAGAGAGAGAGAGAGAGAGAGAGAGGTCGCGCGTGCGCCCTGCGAATTTCGAGAAGGGTGTGGATATGGACGGGGGTTGAAAGGACGTACTATGCCGACACCCACGCTCATTGTTGAGGCGAGTTAATGAGGACGAGCGTAACCGGCTTTTCGACCGGATTACGCTACGTCGCGGCGCGGCGCGGCGCGGACGCGCGAAAACGTATCGCGGAACACGCCGCCCGGAAAATGCGGAGGGAAGTGGTGATGACGATTGCCTCGGGAACGAGAGAGAGAATCCCAAATGAGATCGTTCGACTCGATGTTGTTCGCCCTCAGGAATGTAATCAGATATCCACTTGCAAACTCGAGATAACTAAGCTCGCGCATCTTTTTTCCATAATTGTTTCATTAAACAAATAATTGATAATTGATCAAGGCAAAAAATGAAAATGTACTTACATAATATATGTATAAATATATTAATCTTAACGGCGTACATCTGAACCAAACTGTGACATCGATGAAGTTATTTAAAAATGTAGTTTCGTCGAAATATTTTATTAGTCGTGTTTTTTAAAAAGATCTGGAAGAAGATTAATTTCGATTCCATCGCTTGTATACTCACGAGTGTTTTGCGGAAGGTGTAGTAGCACGTATGCAGTTTTACGAATAAGAGTGTAGTTACGCATAAATTATAATCGCGTCCCACAAGACGCGAATTTGCGAGTTCACGTAGGAAAACAGATGTCAACGAATAACTTTAAGTTGAACTTCGACGCGTGTTATTCCGGCGTTCTAAACATCGTCGCGCAACCATATAACCGAGCGCGCACAATGTGTGCCCCTCTGGCGGAGCCAGATGCTGCATACGGAAGTTACAACGCTGGTTACACGTTCCCGCGAAAGCTGCGAATCGCGGCGAACTTCCCCGGTAGCATTCAATTTCGAGGAAATTTAGAATTCGTCGCGGACACTCGTCGACCCCCCGAGGCATCGCGTCGGCGCGGCGGAGCGGGCAGACGTGGTGCGGTCGGATGGCAGAAAAGTGAAGGAATTGCAAATCTTGACCGGGTGACTCGCGAGTCGCCAAACACGCGAAGTTTGCGCGGATCTGCAGGAAAGTGGAGGCGGATTGTCGTTGGTGCATACGAAGTTATAATACCTCGGCACCCCGAACCGTGAAAAGCCGACCGAAAAGGGGAACCGTCAAAGTGCCAGGTGCGCTTTCGCAGCGTTTCTCGCTAACGGGAAAAATCTCGAGTACGCGTTATGAATATAAGAAAATTGAAATAGCTGATATTACACGGACAGCAGAAGTAAAACAGAACGCGCGGGACATGTGTAAGAGGAATCGATTACTGAAGAAGGAAGATATGTACTCGGATTTTATACATTTTTCGTGCGCACTTCGTTCCCCAGGCTCTGATACTTGAAAAGTTTTCTATGATGAAAATATTGTTTACAAAGAGATTCAATTTTCAGCGAACCTCTGCTCTGTTCTAGAAATGTAAAATATGTTTTAGTTATTTTCACGTTTGTTATTAAATTACGAGAAATATACTAGAATATATAGTTATAAAGATTAATACTTTCTGAGAAAAAAGGTGATAAAATTTACCGTGTATATGGCAATTAATTAAGAAAGATCATATATAGAAGTAATTAAGGCGGCTTCCGCTGAAGTACGTTAACAAATTACAGTCGGTAAAAAAGTAACTTGGGCGTCTTTCGGTTAACCGTTAGGGACCGTTAGGGATTCAGGCGACGAGCGATTAAAACCCTTTCCTTTTGGGCGGAAAATTAGATTGCCGTCGGTGGACGGGGTAACGGGTGAGGTGACGAGATTAAGAAGTCGGCTGCGGAAAACTAAGGAGGTGCGAAAAGTCGCCGTGGTAAATCTCATTTTATAAGCGACGCGAACGAGTTATTGTCCAGCGATCGGTCGATTTTCTCCATTCGGAAAATGCTCTCGTCGGGAAAAAAACTCGGCGAAAAATATTCCGGCGACGATTGTTGCCATGAAGTTCGATCGTGTAATTTTCCTACGGAATTGGTGGGGTGAATTTTTCGCGTGAATTTTTCGAGTTCGCGATCAGATAGGAAACAACGAGAATCCCATTCGCGCGCGCGAATGGGATTTAATCTAATGTAAAAAGTGTGGAAGTTCACTGAGAATTCCATGATCGATTTGCTCGACGAGGTCGTACTTATATCTCCCGTGAAAAAGATCCCAGAATAATACGGAAATCGTTAGACGCGATGAAAATGTTAATATTTTATCGTCATTGACAACCGAGAAAGAAAGTGGTGCATATTTTATCATCGCTGACATATCCTTCGGGTAGACGACATAAAACTAGACACTTTGGTGCACTTTTTTGGTACACCTTTTATTTTTATCTTGCAAAAAAATTGATTAAAAAATTAATGTTAAATATAATTTATTTACCTTTTAATTATTATTAACAGATTTACCCTATTGACACTTGAAGAATTTATTCGTGCAATTCTACTCATGTAAACTACATTCACGTCGAAATTTACAGCGTCTCACAAAGCTTTAAACGTGTATTTATTGTTTTAATACAAGTGTCAAAAATGAGACAATTGTTTGACAATCTGGGAGAATCGCTGTGTAAAGACGATGATTAATGAATGAATGGCATTATATCGTGACGTCGATGATTATACGATCACATAAATCGACGGATGACGGAGGCACAATCCAGTCAATAAAATCCCGCCAACTATTACAATGCCACAATTTCCAGCTTCGCGGGTCGTCATACCGCGACGTCATACAAGCGAGAAAAATCGATAACACACGACGTGTCCATCATATCGCGATGTCGTGAAGCGATGGCGTATCGTAGCTAGTCAAAGGGCTAAATCGATATCAGACTGTATTGGGAAACCCTCGAAAAGTAGTAAAATACAGTAGTAAAACATGGCACATTTAATCTTATATTTTATAAATATGAGGTTCGTTATTGGCAATATTTTCTTTATCCCAAAAAATAAAAGATTTAATTTTTAAATTACACTTAAAATTAACTGTTTTCGCCAACGATGTCAATTATTTTTTAAATAATTCAATAAGAACGTTCTTAACAATAATCATTGCTGTTTATCGACAATACAACACAGAATGTAAACTCTAAGAAGCATTATAATAATCGATATTACGCGACAATTCTATAAATTTTTATATTCCTCACAATCAGTCATCTCCAGCATTGCGCATCATTTTGCTTCTTTCGCTCTGCCTTTGTCTCGTATCGCTTTACATATCAGCGATCGTAAAAATCTCTTTTACATAATCCGCAAACGTTTTATTACGCTTTTGGAGCGCCACTTATTAACAGGTCTTTTCTCTTTTATCATATTTCTCAATCTAGTTTTCATCGCGCGACGGCTTTTCGCGTACGCCGAAAAAAAAACGCTTACAGCGTTACGTATTTTAATAGCAGCGCTTTAAATTAGTATCTCGGTATTAAAGCGAACTCTCCATCGCCTCGGGTGGTTTTGCACCGAGGCATTAAATCGGACGTTGCAACGCAAAATTTCGTTTTAGAGAATTAAACGGGAGAGATGTGCATTCGAAAGAATGCAGCCACGCTCCTGGCTGCGAGCTATCACGCTCTCGTACTCTGTTCAGATTACGTTTACCGATTAATTTATCTTAATTTCGATTAACTGGATACAAAAGCATGCAACAGCGGACACCGAGCGTTTTTCTCGTATGTCTCTTGGTAAGTAGATTTCGACGTAAATTACGGCTTGGCGACACGGTGAAAGCGGCGAGAGATCAGGATCGTGGCCAGAAAAATGTTCATTCTAAAATACTTTTTGATAAATTTATCTTGAGATTTTCCAAAAAATACCGCCTTAAAAGACAAAATAATGCTTGAAAGCCTCGATTTTGTTTCAATGAAAAATAATTAAATATTCACATATGACTATTATCATTATTAACTCTAATAACTGGCTAAATAATTAAATTAATATTTGATTATTATTTCTACTATTATTATTATTACTATTATTATATCATGATTATCTATAATTTCTTAAATGGTTGAATTAATTTTACATTTAATCGAAAAGTTTAGATTCGCTACAATTTGTAATTGCTACAATCTTAAGTAGCGCACGACGAAATCCACCTTCTCCGCGACCGAAACGGAAATTAATTAAAATGGAAATCGCGAGAAGAAAAGCCGCGGCGACATGGATAACATATGATCATACGACATGTATGATCTCGGGATCTCCGTCTCTTTTAACGATTGCACGGACGTGTTCTTAATGGCCATGCCATTTAAATAATTACACGTTCACGAAATAGTCGGACATTTCTTTCGCTTCTTCTCCTTCTTTTGCTCCTTCTCTGCTCTTTTTCAGATCTCTTAGGAACGGTCAAAGTCGTGTACTAAGGGTGAGAGAAATCGCGATATAAGCGCGAAAAATCGCCTCACTTGTCCAAACGTTCTCTCACAGTTGGGTAAAATGCAGGGAATTTTGTCGCTTTTATTTTTCAAGTTTAGAAAAAGATCAGGAACAATATTGAAATCCTAAATAAGTAATTACTAGACAACAAAGATTAGAATCACTTTTCAAAATTCAGATATATGCATAACGTGATGTATTTCTTGCTCATATTACTGAATCATAAAAAATTCAAGAAATAGGTACTTAAACGTAATTACACGAATTGAAATTATATGAGATGAAGCTCGTGAAAGTTCTGAAGGCGCACATCAATTTCTTATTTAATACTATTGAACACGTGAGTTTCTCCGTTTACCGCCAAAATAGGCATTATTCAAATCGCGCAATTATAAACCGTCTGTACCTGGCTTCCTTTAAATCTGCGAACCT